TTTGAAAGTTCATATTGGAAGTTTACTCCCAGGACAAAGAAATGATTCTCAATAACAGTACCTGTACATTTTCTCTCGGAACTACCAGATAAAATTTTGCGATCGTATTTTTTGTTCTTCCAGGTTTCTTTTGATTTGTGCGAATTGTAAATGGAGTTTGCTAAGGACTTCGGCGCTCGACGCACTTAGCAATATCGCATGTGAGGTAAGTCTGCGCATTTTTAAGTCATCCAATACAGTGAGATACTTTCGTGTGTGCTTGGATGTATTTGTGTACATTTGTATGGATTCCTGTATGTGCACATGTACATGTGCGTTTATGCGTCGATGGATTTCTGCAGATTTTTTTTTTTTCTTTCTTTCATTTTTTGACTGTTAAGGTATATCAGAAAAGTGCGAAGCCATTAAAAATGTTATGCAATATTTTAGATTGATCTTATGGGCGAAGAATATTCTTTAACCAATCATTTATTGTTGAAAACTGTTTCGTATTGTCTCCATTCTGAGGATAAACTTCAAGTAAGACTTTTTTTTTGATTTAGTGGTTCACAAGACCAGTTATGAACAGGGTTTACATTCGTAAAATATTTTTGTCTTTTTGTTTTCTTTGTCATGCTCAATTTTGAAGGTTAAGTCGTTCTTTTTTCAACCGCTAAATTTTAGTTCAATCGAAAATCAAAATCCGTTTTGTGTCTTCACTTTGCGAGAAGCTGGGGCACTTTAAAATTAATCGAATAATAGCACATTCGCAGCAGTAACCAACACATCCAGCGAGATTGTCGATGGTAACCACCTTCGGAGATTGCTCCCAAACTGACTGCAAATTTCAGCTTACTAAATGCTAGCATCAAAAAGAAATCCATTGCAGATAATTCGCGCACTTGAAATCCTTTCGGGATTGTGCAATAACGACCGTAATGAATCTCTTATTTGTGAATTTCTGGATTCTCGCATTTTGTCTAAAATATTTACTGTAATTTCTGTGAAAGATATAATGATGTGCGTTTATACACTTGAATCTCTATACCAGGTATGTGAATTCTGTGGTAAAATCTATCCGCTTGTAAGTGTAGAATTTGTGACGCTTTACATGTATTCTAATATTGATAGTTTTGAGTTTTTCTTCTGGACGTTGTAAGCTCTGGGAGTGTACTTTACATCTGGTCTCGGCATCGGCTTTTGGTTAGTTGAAACTGAAGGTTTGTCCAGAACAGACATGCATCGCATATTGAGTGGTACTCCCAAGAAAGTCAGTGGCATCTCATTTCATTTATTCGTTCACCAAACAGGACTTATATATATATATATATATATATATATATGTACTCATACACACGTCTTATGCATTTAAATGTAGAAAAGCAAGAGAAAATAAAAAATACGAAGTGATGCAAAATTTAAGAACTAAAATACACCAATTTTGAAGAAATAAGCACAGAGTATTACAACAGTGTGTGATGGAATTGATTCATGCTAGTTTACAATGCTTTTGAAAGAGAGGCTACAGTGTGGGATTGTTAATGATCAAAATTGCGAGCAGAATAAGCATGAACGAGTTCCGGAGGCAAATTTTTCCACACATTAGCTGTTCATGCACAGAAGTAGCGCCGATCAAGTCCTTTTATAGCTAGCTGAGGAAGAAGTTTGAAGCCATTCGACCGAGTTTTAACAAAACTGAGACCTAAATCCAAAAATACACCTGAATTCAGATCAACGTTCCAAGTAGGTTAACTTAAAAACGAAAATTAAATCAGCGATGATCCTGTTTATTTCAAGACTCCACAGTTCAAGGAGGTGTCTATCGTAATTGCACTTATAGCAGAAAGGACAAGCTGCGTGAAATACTGTTGCACAACACTGCAAGCCTTTTTTTATGGCATAGGGGAAAAACAAATTGACTCTTAGTTTAAGACAGGCCTAACAAAAACATTATATAGCCTGAGAAGGAAGTTCGGGGAGCGGCAGGAGGATTTCGAAAGAGACAATTTATCTGTTTGGAGCCCTTACTAGCAATACTAACGCAATAAGGGTCGAAGCGCACATCAGCTGCGAAGCAGTCTAAGTCACGCACCTCAAGTACAACGCTGAGAAAGTGACCACAGGTCAGGGCAATCGATATTGTAACTGTTCAGGTGATTGACTTTGCACTTGTGGGCAGTTATAATCTCAGTTGCATGGAGTCAGCCCAGTTATAAATAGCATTCAAATCTATCTGCAACCTAGATGGATTATCTTCCCTGTTATGCATCTAGGAGAACAGATAAACAGATGAAAAAGAAACTTGTTCAACAAACCTTATTTATATATAGGGCAAGCAAAAGAGGGCCTAAAACAAGAGTGTTGCGGGACCCCCTCCCACCGGGACTACGGCAGTATAGGAAGAGCGAGCTTCGTTCAGCTGTACAGCCTGCGTTTGTTTACTGATGGCTACCTATAGTTCCAAAGATGTCCGGAAGACAGAGTAGTTTTTTATGAGAGACGGAATTGAAAGATTTAGTAATGCTAAGGTATTCGAGTGTTTCGAAAGAGAAGGCTAATAACAGGAAATTTGGAAGTCAAAGAGCCTGTTGGTGAGTAAAATACCCCAGTACGTCAATAAGGTGGGTTCTCTTTACCGCCTGCGCGGATGGTACTGATATTTTTGGTGTGGCGGGTAGCAAAAGCGAACTTCTTTTTTGGTTTGGAATTAAGCGAAAATTTTTTTTTGAAAAGAAATCTTCAGTTTCTTGCCACCCGATGGCAAGTTCTAGAAGTAGAAATACCTCCAACAATGGTGTTACTACCATGCTGCCAGTATATTTTTAAATTTTATCATTTACGCCTCAGAAAGTTGTTTTTTGTAATCATCTGCGTTGTTTCGGCATTGCAGACAGTGTGGGACTAAAGCTGTGGAAGTGTTTAACTTGTCCTCATTTCCATAATGATCTTATTTTTGAGTGCTCTAGATTTCTGGCTAGCAATTTTAATTTTTTCTGAACAAAGCTGGATCAAAATAATACGGAAAGGAAAAGGTTTTCACTTCTGACACTGCCAGTGTTAGAATGTAATGTTCGGGGCGTTTTGGGCGTATAATACATTTGTATTTGTTTATCATACTTTTTTTTTTACTTGCTTGTCGAACTGCATTTCTCTTTATGTGTG